GTTTTTTTTTAACCCTGACAGATCGTGAAGGCTCGAAGGTTTAGATTGAAGATTAAGCACCATTTATCGCCCTAATAAGCTGTGTTAAAGGATTCATAAGTTAATCATATTTTTCGTTATTAAATTTTTGAATGTATTTTTTTGTGTCCTAACAGCCTCCTCACATCATGTTGGTTTGAGGAAACTACCATATACATGAATGAAACTACCTTCAATATGAATAAAAAAAGGCTGCTGAAAATGGCTGCTAACTTCACATTTTTGGCTGCTGAAAATGGCTGCTAACTTCACAATTTTGGCTGCTGGAAAACGGCTGCTAACTTCACACCGGTGAAAATTCTTGATAAATGTGCTGAAAGTTCTCAAACTTCTTAAGAAAATATACCTACTTAATACATAATTAATCACATAATTTGTGAATTGTGTCATGTTTGATAACAATAATTATTCTAATTTGGGGTTTTCTGTGAAACTTCAACATACAATTATCATTAGGATTCTTTTTTTTTTTTGATAATAAAATAAAATAGTGATTTTAGTTTAAGTATATTCCAGTACAACGCTACCTTTGCCTCCAAAAAAAAATAACTATTGCTGCTAAGTTGCTTCCTGGTTCTCGGGCTCAATATTCGATATATCTTCGCCTTCAACAGCTTCCATAAATATATCTCTACTTTATGGCGTCATGTGATTTTATTGGTTAGGATCGTGCCTGAGAACGTGCTGAATATTCTCTATCATGCTCATTGTGCTCCGAAGGTAATATTCAGCACGAACCTTTTTTTCGTGCGCGAACGTTCGTGAATGTTCTCGAAAGCACAATCAGAATGTTCCCTTGTTCACATCACTAGATAAAGCAACTATGTTTTTTAATGTTTTTGAGTATATTGATTGATATGATTTGAAATGTAAAAAATCTAAACTCACCTTATAACTTTCAATGGAATCAAAGTTCCTTTCACTAGAAGAAGGATCTGAAAAACAAGAAAGCAATCATTATAAACTTGTTTTAGTCATACTAGGAAATGTATCAGTTTGTACTGCAATTATCAGAACATAGGTAATCATGGTTTTTGGTCAGATTGACTAGGGCGTCTATGAATGTGTTCATCATATTAAATTTAAAACCAACAATAATTCCATAAATACTAATTTTACTTTACACTCTAGGTTGTGAGGTAAGTTACTTTAGACACTAGAGCGTAAAGTTGTGGTATATTTTTTCCTGATTTTTTCAAATTTATGGCTTTACATTGTTGGTATGTAGTAGAAAAATTTTGCATGCTGTGATAGATGTCTAGAGCGCCTTTTTTTACTCATGTGATTGTCTCACTTGCCTGCTGCTGGTGAGTAAATTTACATTGGTAAAAAAAGGTTCACTTTACACACTTGTTGCATAAATAGCTATTCGTTAAGATTGTAAGCAGTATTAAGAACAAAAAAATCTTACCATTCTTCATGGATTTCAATCTAAAACTTGCACCCTAGTCTGTCAAAAGCAGCATTGAATATTCCAGGACGTTTGACAGTAACTCTGCAAATACAAGAATATCATTTTAAAATAATATAGGTACACAAGTGTTATTATTTTCTCACTATTTGAGTTTAATATCAGATTAAAGGTATCAACATGAACTTCAGTCATATGCTTGTCTATTAAAAATCATCATGATAAAGTTGAAAGAACAGTTAAAAATTACATCAAGTGGTAAATTAGGAAAAGAGAATGCAAAATACAACCCAATTAGTGATTGATTATGCAAAACAATCTCGAGAACAATGTTAACGCAGGACTGTACATTTTTGTACAGGGTGATTCATTAAACTTAAGTCTTATATCCAAAGCTACCGAAAAGATTACAAAAAAGCTATAAAAAATTCAAAGGTCCATTGCAATGATAGAAAAATTCAAAATGCAGTTAATCCAAGCAGGTGCATGTGGGAGATAGTAAATGAGCTGAGAGGTAAACCACAAAAATTTGTAAATGACGAGACTGGCATAACAGCCTCGGAATTTAACGATTACTTTGTAAATATAGCAGTTGAATTGCAAAGTAAAATACCCAATGAAAACATTAATCCTCTGGCAAGTCTGCAAAACCTACATTTAAATATAAAAGGGGGGCAATTCTTTTTTTAGGGAGGTTACATTCTGTGAAGTTCGAGGGGTGATCGATAGGCTCAAAAATAAAACAAGCAAAGATATTTACAACTTAAATATTAACTTAATAAAGGGTGTCAAGAACCAGTTGCTTATTCCTCTTACAAAGCTTATAAATTGTTGCATAGGAGAAGGTACCTTTCCGGATTGTATGTATGAAAATAGCTAGGGTGACTCCTATTTATAAAAAGGGTGAATCGAGTGATCCTGGAAACTACAGGCCTATCTCTCTTTTGCCTGTTCTTTCCAAAATCATTGAAAAATGTCTTGCAAACCAGATAACAAACTATCTTGAAATTAACGAAATATTGAGCCCAAACCAGTTTCGTTTTAGAGGGGGCAAAAACACCACTTTGGCAATCCTAAGACTAGTAGAAAACATAATGGAGGGTTTTGAAGACTCACAACACACAGTCTCAATCTTTTGCGACCTGAGCAAGGCTTTTGACTGTGTCTCTCACGACATTTTACTTGACAAACTACCTTTTTATCATTTTTCACCTCAAAGCATAAATCTTATAAGATCATATTTAACAAAACGTCAACAAGCAGTCAGTTTTAACAATATAATGTCCTATAAGCAGGAAGTCAGAATGGGAGTACCCCAAGGTTCGATCCTGGGGCCTATTTTGTTCTTACTTTACATAAACGACCTGCCAAACATAGCAAGAACAGAAAAAATCTTCAATTTTGCAGATGACACAACAGAACAAGTCAAACACACCGACATACAGACAGCAACCGACATGTCTAGAGAGGCACAGGCAAGAGCCAAGCAATGGTTTTCAGCTAATAAACTCTTCTTGAACGAAGCCAAAACCCAAAACTATGTTTTCTCATTAAAAAGAACAGAACCGATGGCAGGTAGTGTCGTATTCCTTGGGGTTGCTCTCGACCAGAAATTACTGTGGGATGCTCACACTGAGATGACTACGAAGAAGCTAGGTAGAAATACTTTTGTTTTAAGGAATTTGTCGGTGTGCGTGTCTCCAAGAATTCTCAAACAGTCTTACTTTGCTGTCTTCCACTCGCATCTCAGCTACGCGTTGCTCGTTTGGGCCACTCTAGTGGTGCACAGGGGGTTTTTGCTATGCAGAGACGTGCTGTGAGGATTGTTGCGGGATTGGGTTATAGGGAAGATGTAAGACAGGCCTTTATTAATAACAGAATCCTGACTCTGCCATGTGAGTATATTCTCCAAAATTTGATGTATGTTAAAGACCACCATGACGGATATACCTGCCACAGTGACATTCACAACTACAACACGCGAAACAAAAACCACCTACAACCAATCTTTCACCGGTTACAAAGGTGCCAAAATGGACCCGGGTTCCATGCAGTCACATTTTTTAATCGGCTTCCTGATCCCCTGAAATATCTAAGTAAGTCTAAATTTAAAGAGAAAGTAAAGGACTTTTTGATTTCCAAGGCTTTTTATTCTATACAAGAGTTTAACAACTCCACACTTAGCTGGATGGATGGTAAATTGCAGTGAAAAATAGTATAAGTAATAATAATAGTAATTGTGCCATCTTAACCTGATGTAATGTTTTTATTCTTGAAATTTGTTTGTAAAATTCGTTAAGGTAAATGTTTATTTTAATTTATGTAAATTTTAGCCTGTTTTTTTTTTTTTAATGTAATTTTTAGCTTGTGTTTTAAACCTTTTTAAACTATTTTAATATGTAAATTGGAATTAGACAGTAGTTTTTATTGACAAGTGTAAACACATGAGTGTAAATTAACACAAATAAATTGATTTGATTTGATTTGATTTGATTAAGAATGGCACTCGGCCATATCTCAAAAACTATTCACCCTAGTCTTGTCGGAAAAAAATTGTTCCATAAATATGGCCAAGAGAAAATGCTGGATATAAATTTCGGCTTTCTAAAATGACCGCAAGGGGGCGTAACCCAACTGTCAAAGTACAAAAATTGTTTTATTTTTGAAATTTCAAATGGAAACGAATCTTGAAAATGCTAGCAATAGATTTTTGATTAAATTTCACGCAATTTTGATTCATGACTTCTTACTAGAACTTATCGGATAAGATAGTTATGAGCTTAATATAAAGCAAATATTGCAACTCAAGAAAGCGGATAACTTCAAAACGACTCAACAAATCTGGTCGATCTCAGGTTTGTTGGAAAGAAAAGAGTCTGTTCTTTAATTTTGTTGTGGAAAATTTAAATTCTGGTTAGTAGGACTGACGTTATGGGTCAATATTTGAAAAGCATTAAATGTTTCCAATTTTTCTTGAAATTTTCAAATGGAACAGTATATTTAAGATATGTTCAATCGATTTTTGAGGATGTTTTACACGGTTTTTCTTT